TTTTTTACTCATGTTTTCTTTGGTCTTCGTTCAGTGCCCTGGTCCCTGTTGAGTGAATCACTTGATCTTGGCTGGCTTCAGTTCCTTGATCTGCATGTGTAATGTTTTGTGGACGGCCAGAGTCCTGGACTGACAGAAGCCCTTTCCACACTCCTGACATTTAAAGGGCTTTTCTTTAGAATGGATGTACCTGCGGAGGGGAACACAACACTCCAGCAAGTCAGTGTTTACCAAAAAATTATGTCAAATTTCAGATCATTATTTAAAAGGCAATAATTGTCTGGTTTTATCATCCTTTCATTATTACCCAGCAAGAAAAAGCACACAGGCTTAGTTTACAGACAGTCTTCATGTGATTAACAAGATTTATGGAGCCTGTGTACTCATTAAAAGTGCCATTATCACAATCTGACTTTTTAGCTTAAGGCTTATAGCTTATCTGCTTAAAAGGAGTTTCAGCAGCTTTTGTGAAGTTGTCTGATGTATTACAAATGTAATGCAATGCACAGAAGTGAGTGATATTCACTGACTACTGTGCACGAACACACCCACAAACTTTAGTTAGAAGACTTTAGTTTAGAAGAAGAATTGTGTAGATATGAGATGTTTTTGTTCATCCAGACAAAGATTGTTAGGATTAGCATGTTTTTTGCATAGTGGCAGTGAAAATACTAAACTTAGCACAAAAAGTTGTGGAAATTTGTGTTTGGTCTATTATTTCTTTGTTGTAACAATGCTTAAATTTTATATCGTTGTAAAACGGTTTTATTTGCCAGTTCTTCACTGCCAATGCCAAACAGCTTATTCTGCTTCTGACTCTTCTGGTACCAGGTGCTGACAATCAGGTGCCATTGGTGTGATATAGGACAACTTCAACCTAATGTTCCACAAAACCAAGTGGCAGCATTATTTGGAGTGAGGCAGTAAAGGCAGCCTTGGCCAAGTCTCGCATAAAGAAGATTGTCAAAGACAGGCCACTAAGTGGGCATCTCAAGAAGTAAATACCACAAGAAGACAGTTTTCTCATCCTATCAGCACTTAGGAACCATAGGTAGTCTTCTACAGTCTACAGTCAATATGGGCAACGGCTCTGTCCCTAGAAAACACGCAGTCCATCTCCTGTATCACAGGGCTGCCAAGAGGCCTGCTATGAGAACTCTTCACCATGGTGTCGGCAACATCAGGAACCTAGAACTTGAGCATGTGGAGGTACATTATGTTCAGTGATGAGTTCAGATTCTGCCTATGGCAGCTGGCTCTCAGGGTAGCACAATAAGCTGTTTGGCATTGGCAGAGAAGGTTTGGCAAGTTTTTCATGGACACAACCCACATTCTCAACTTTGCTGCTCAACCCACAAATGCATTTTGCTTACAAATGTGGCCCCATTTAAAGGGAAATAACTTGGCTTTCGGGTGGTAAACGATTTATTACCAAGAAACATGTTACATGTTACAACAAAGAAATAATTGACCAAACACAAACTTCCTTACCTGTTGCGTTAACTTTATGAATAGAAAAACTGGGATTTATGTTAATGTGAACAAAATTTGAGTGGAAACTAATTCCATTGTGTTGAACTGGTTTGATAAAGTTGGATAAACCAGCATCTCACCTGTGGTCCCTGAGGTGATCCTGTCTCCTGAAGGCCTTGTGACAGATATCACATGTATATGGCCTCTCATCTGTGTGTGTCCTCTCGTGGATCAAAAGGTTGTAGGATTTGGTAAAATGTCGGGCACAGAACTTGCAGACAAATTCTTTCTTGGTCTTTGAAGGCAGTCGGCCTCGACTAGACTTGCGCTCTGGTGAAGTAAGTTTGGTCACATCAAGCATGCATCCCAGGCTGGCTGCGGTCAGGTGTGGAGATGATGCCTGTGCTGCAGAAGCACTAGCGCTCACTGTCATGCTCAGGTCCTCCACCTCTAACTGATCCTCTTTGGTTGCTGCTGCTGCCAGGTTGGCAAAGTCAAAGCGAGGCTTGTTTTTGAAGGTCTGTAGCAACCCTGCCGAGTCTTGCTTAGGTGGCAGAAGGTGAGGGAAAATGGGGATGGATGCCATACAGGAAATCTGGGAAGGCAGCTTAGAGATGGTGCAGCGGGGCAGGGCAAAAGCTGGGTACCCCAGGGTCCACTGGTGAAGGTGGACGGCATGCAGGGCGCTAAAGCTGTAGATGCTGTGAAAATGATCTGCAGGCAGCTGAAGACCTGTTGAACTCTGGATGAGGGAACAGTTGGCCAACTGAAGTGATGGGTGGAGAGGAACTGGTGCTGGCAGAGTCTTGCTCCCCATGTCTGCTAAATCAAATCCAGCAGGCTGTCTAATTGAGACAAAAAATATCAGCTGATGAAAATATCAAACTTCAACTGAGCTACAGTTGTTTCTTTATAAACATTTATTTATTAAATTCATCAAATAAAAAATCTGTTAATAAAAAGAAATGATTAAAAAAATGAATGTACTTGAATGTAATGCAAAGAGCATAAATTATTGGCCAAAAATTTGTTGGCTAAAGTACATCATAGTTTTCAAAATACATTTCACCAAAAACATCAAAGAAAAAAAGTAAAACAATAACAAAAGTTCATTATAGAACCAGTGTTAGTATGCACACACACACACACACACACACACACACACACTGAAAGCTCATGCACATGTGGTTGGGTGTTTCTTGTTACCTTCCCAGGTACATGCCTGGGGGTGTTGAGGGCAAGGAAACAGAATGACAGCATTCAACCAGAGAAATACCTGTGAGCTATTAAATCAGGTTTGATCAGCTGGAATAACAATAGACAATAATGCATCTTTGTCTGAGGCAGACGCTGATGGACACAAGCCATTGGAACTTCAAGTCCCATTGTCTGAATGAACAAAACCCACAAACCACTCCTCACCTCTTCGTCTCAAACTGCTTGTTTAAATAAGGCTCTTTTACCCAAGTGCCTTTCACTTAGATTTGAATTTTTACAAATATGTATAGTTTGGATATTTTTCACTTCACTATAAGTTTTGTGTCGCTACAGTAACTGTAGTAGTTACAATTACAGTTACTACCATAAATATACAATGTTTCAAACTGAATATTTAATTCCAAAAATGAAAACTAACCAAAAGATATTATTTTGATACATACAAAGTTAATCAGCTGTTATTAGTGGTTAAAAACCATTAACACATTGGTCAACAACATCAAAATGCTGCTTACTCATGAAATGCTGCTTACTTCATTTGTAACAATACGCATTAGCATTTTTTGATATTTAATCATTCAGTCTTTGCATTCAACAACAACACTTCCATCGTACAATATACTGTATCATCAAATATTAACGTTTAAAATCCTAAAAATTTGAAAGTCAGATCAACATTAACAGTTATCATTATGTTCTTTGAATGCTCATTACTCACATATTAATGCTAGAGCAATGTATCACAAATGAGGATTCGTGTGAAATATATTTGAATCACTGTTATTTGGAGAAAAATGGAATTTGGCTGTAATAAGGACAACACATTTGTTTTAGAAATATGCATGAAGGATCATTTGTAAAAAGCCAGACAACCTTTGCATTTCATTATATATCTAGAATGAACTTTTTGAGTCTGCATAGTTTGTTTTATAGTTTATAATTATTGGCCATTTTCAGTCCAGTGGTTGGAAATAGCAGTTGTGCAGTTTATAATAAAGATGCTAAATGCAAACTTGACAGACGAATAAATTTAAATAAAAATATAGAAAGCCTTAACTGCAAACCTGAAGCTACTCATCCAGGTAGTTGCAGTGAGGACCAGTGAAGCTCAAACAGCCCCCTGGGGTCTGCTCCTTTCTGATCATGTAGCAGAAGTAATTGATTTTTACATAGGAGGTAATTAGAGAAGATACATGCTATGCTGCTAAGCCTTTCCACACCTTTAACCCTTGCTGTCTGCATATCACAAGATTCCAATCTAAACACCCACCAGCCTGATTCAGCCCCTCAGGGGTCTCTGTTGTGAACATTGGAATTTCACATTTACCTATTTAAGAAGAATAACTAGTTAGTAGCATTACACATGCCAAAGAAAAGAGACTTTACAAAACAGATTTTTAATAGATGAATGAATAGACGAATTAACAGACATATAAAGAAACAAACATATATTGTGAAATAGTCACAAATTAATACTAATACTAACTGCTGTGAAACTTCCTTGTTCTTTTACTAATAGTAATGTTATGAAGCTCGTTGATTTTAAATGCAGCTCAAAATGTATAAAGTATATTTCTTATGAACTATGCAAAATATTAAACTTTCTATTTCAAATGTGAGTAACATTGTCCAAAACCGAAGCACTGAAGTAATAAAAACGTGTTAATTTAAGTAAAGAAACAGGTTTATTTTTACAATGCAGTGTAGGTTACAAACCTAATATTTTTATTTTTTACCTCAGTGAAATATCTAAGACTTGTTATTGTCTAGAAACTGATATGTAATCTAGACTTTCAGGCCCTCACTGCTTGTTGTGCTGTGTTTGCACAGCGTACGCAGACCTCAGAACAGTCATTTCTCACAGTGATGCTGTATTTGCTGCTTTATTTAGACAATGTTTGGGCTCTAAGGTCATTTAGTGGATAATGAAATGTC